ACCAAACCTGGGATTATAGCAGAATATTATCAAGTCCTTTCAAACACCATTTTTCAATTATTACAAATGCTTGAAAATTGTAATATAAAATGTTAATTAAAAATGTGAGGAGTCCTGGTCACATGCTCAGGAACTCAGAAACTCTCTGTGCCTTCCTGGCCATAATGTCTTACACTCTCAAACTGAGAGCCAAAATAAATGTTCTTCCCTTAAGGAAATAAAAAAAAATCATTAGAAGAGGCATCAAGAGATGATCTCTACCTCTCCCCCTTCCTGCCCTCATGTGCACCTGGGTGATTACACACAGTCCTCAACAACTCCCTCACATTGAGTGTCCAGGTAAAAAATCAGGCTGTTTCAGGGAGCCCTGGAAACTATAATTGTGAAGCTGCATGGCTTGATAACCCCTGTTTTGTTGTGCTTTTGTAACAATGGAAAAATAAAAGCATTAAGTACAATGAAACTGAGGTCAACAAGCTTCATTCTTTGGCTTTTGTTTTCATATTTCTAACATCATTTCTTTGTCTGAAAAAATAATGTTTCAGTGGGTGTTTGATGATGGTACTTGTTTCATTATTGATTTGGGTTTTATGAGACCACAAAGAGAATTCAAGTAAAGAGATTTTGTAGAAGCAGATGCAGAGATATACATCCAAGCACTGGGCTTGGAGTCCAGTTGAAGAGAGGATGGAGAGATTGGACGAACAAGGCTGGATCTAGATAGTGAGGCAGAAACCCAGCTGTTCTGAGCTTGTGGGAACTCATGGATTCTGGATGAACAGCTAGGGAGTCAGATGGGACTAACCTAGGTCCTCTGCATCTGGGTGACAATTGTGTAGCTTGGTCTGTTTTGGGGCCCCTAGCAGTAAGACCAGGACCTGTTCCTGATGCATGAGCTGGCTCTTTGGAACCTATTTCCTATTGTGGGCCCAGCATTGATGCAGGGGAAAAGAGCTTGGTCCTGACTCAGTTTGATGTGCCATGCTATGTTGATTCCAGTGGGAGGCCTTCTAAGTAGAGAAGGAGGAGTGGATGGTGGGGAGGGAGGAAGAAGACAGGTGGGGGGAGGGAGCAGAAGGGGAGGAGGGAGGGAAAACTGTGATTGGTATACAAATAAATTCTAAAAATTATGAATAAAAAAAGAGAATCCAGTAAAAAAAAATAATGTGTGAATAATAAAGGAATACAGAGAAAAGTAGGCATCATGGGGCATCAAATTGTTCTCTTTGGAATATTTCCACTTACTGACTTTTGGGGAGCAACTGCTTGTTGGGATAATTTATTTGCTCATGTTAAAAGTGGATCCTGGGGCTGGAGAGATGATTCTGTAGTTAAGAGCACTGACTGTTCTTCTCAAGGACCCAGGTTCAATTCCAAGCATCTACATGGTGGTTCACAAACATCTTGTAAACACAGCTACAGAGGATTAAACACACTCTTCTGGCTTCCATGGGCACCAGAAATGCACAAGAAGATGCCTCAGTAGTTAAGATTGTATACTGCTCTTGTGGAGGACCCAAGTTCAGTTCCCAGAACCCACATTGGTGTTTCACAGCTGCTAACTCCAAGTTCAGGGGTTTCCCATGCATCTAGTCTCCTCAGGTGCTGCTTCATATGCACATACTCACACACAGACACAAACACATACACACAATTAATAATAACATCTCTTTGTTTCTGCTACTCTTATGATTATGAATGGCCACTCTTTCAATATTGGACTCCTTTTTGGCACATTCAGCTGCTGACAAGAGGGAAGGGATAAGGAGATACAGATGTTGCCCTAGGACATGCCACTTCACCCAGCATGATGGGTGAAGTTTCCTTGGAGAGGCTGGAGAGATGGCTCAGAAGAGCAGAACACTTGTTCTGCAAGCTTGAGAACTTGAGTTCATGTCCATGTCAAAAGCTAGATGTGGCATCATACATGTCTTTGAGCTCAGCACTGAGGGAAAACAGAAAGGAGGATCACTGGGGCTTGCTGGTTGCCAGGATAGTTTCAAATTCAGTGAGAGACTCTGTCTCAGGCTATAAACTAGAACATGATAGAGGTGATGACCCAATGTTCTCTGGCCTCCATGTAGCATGTACACATGTGCATACACTCCACACAAAATAGTACACCCACACATGTGCCAAGTGCAAACACAGTGTACTGTAGTCTATAAAGGCTCAATCATTTAATGTTTCTTAAAGATAACACTAACTTAATCTGTGTATCTCTGATTTCCTCATTTGGAAATGGGTACCACAGCTCATTACTCATAGGTATATAATTATGTTTAAAATAATAATAAAAAATACTCAGTACAGTTTCTACCACAAATGAGACTCCTAACAAACTCAAGCTATATCCATTTCAAGAGGATATCGATGATGCAACAGATAGATGTAGTCCACTGACAATAGGTCACCTCTTCTGTATTGAAATAAGACACTGAAGTGCTTGTTTCCCAGGAACAGGGGCATTCCCATGACCTGATGAAATAACTGAATATATTACTATGGAAGCAGTCAGTCTTAACCATTCCCACAGAGAGTTCATTAGCTTGGATCTCAGTTCACTATGCCAAAGGCAACTGAAAACAGCCCTCCTAAGCTATGTAATGGGCACCTAGCATGAAGCTTTCTCCAGGGGTGGCTGTGTTTTCAAAATGGCTGAGTGATTGTTTTCTGGCATTTCGCTATCTGGGTCTTGGAAAACTGTAAGTTATCACACAAAGGAAACAGTGAGCTGAATCATGCGTGGGTGAGGTGGAGTGCTTGATTCAAGACACACATTCTTTTCATTGTTCTTCAGTGACTTTGGACAGTGGGGCTTTTCATAGAAGTGAGGTTTGCATATAGTTGATGTTGTCTCATATAAGCTCTGGAATGGCTTTTAAATACATTTCTTGCCTTCTTAACTAAAGATGTGCATTATAAGCCTGATGTTTCCTGAATATTTTCTATGAAGCTGGTGCCATGTTTCAGGACTTCACTCTTTAGTTTTCACAACAAGACTATGGGTGATGCCTAAACCTTACCTAAAACTGGGGTCAGAGAAGCCAAGCTATTCATTCAAAGTTGTTAGAAGTGGTAGTTAGATGTTGTGGTTTGAACTCCCTCTTACTAGACCTTCAAGGAACATAACTTTGTTGGAGAACATTTTCGGCTAAGAAATGACGGAAATCATTATTAAACATCAAAGTAAGACCCTTGAAAGTCTGAACATACATTTCAAAGGGTTTCTGTTATTCTGGTGTTTGAAAAAGGTGCATTTTAAACCTGAAGTTCAAACTTTTACATATCTGTGACTATGCCTTTGTTTAGCAGATGCTATTTGAGCACCTGCTTTCTGGTGTGACTGTGGGCCCATTGCATGCTAGGCACTATAGAAACAAAGAAATGTCATGAGGCACACGACTGCCTTCCAAAGGTCCCCTTACAAGAGATGCATCATCTGAGGCAACACTTCACTCTTGTTCAGGAGATCTTGACAAAGTGTCCATTTTTAATCCCACCCTTCAAGGAAATCAACCTCTTTGACTTCCTCCATCCTGTATAAATGAGGACTAATGAGTGAGAGCAGGGGACACAGGCATAATTAGATGTTCTTTTGGTTTCAAGAGGCCTCACTGTGTTCAAAGTAGTTCAAGCTATTTTGCTTGGCCAGATTCTAACTGACCTTGGGTTAGATGGAAACATTTGTTTTTTAGATGGTAGCTAATGAAAGTGAGAAGCTTGTATGAACTGCATCTCTTGATAAAAGATGTGTTTTCAATGAGATATGCTCCTCCATGCAGTAAGCAAATAAAGTGAAATGCAACTCTAGATCTAAGCCTGCGTGGACAAAGCCATTGGGTATGTTGATGGCATCAGTGAAATTGAGCATATTAGTTTCCTATGGCAATGACTTACACATAATTTTCAAGACTGTCTCATTTTAAAAGCAATGACTAACTGGTACTAGGTGGTTTTCTGTGTCAACTTGACACCATCTAGAGTCATCAGAGGAAGGAGCCCCAGCTAAGAAAATGCCTCCTTGAGATCCAGCTGTAAGGCATTTTCTCATTTAGTGATCCATGGGGGAGGGCCCAGCCCATGGACTTTTAGTCTTGGGCTCTATAAGAAGATTGGCTAAGCAAGCCATGAGAAGCAAGCTATTAAGCAGCTCCCCTCTATGGCCTCTGTAATCAGCTCCTCCCTCCAGGAACCTGCTCTATTTGAGTTCCTGTTCTGAGCTCCTTCAACAATAAATAGCAATGCTGTTGTATGCCAAATAAACCCTTTCCTGCCCAACGTGCTTTGGGGTCATGTTGTTTCATCCCAGCAATAGAAACCCTCACTGAGACAATTCTCTCATCAGACATGATTAAGATTCTGTATTCTCACAGCCCTGGGCCATCTTTTGATGTTCTTTCTCTGAGCCACCTTCCTCCTGTAGGAACTAATGCAGTCTCTTGATGGCTCCATTCACTATTGCAGGTGCTTCTTATGCACAATGCTGGCATAAATATGTGTGATGATTGAGGAGAGATGGTTGGTTGTCTTGAGCCCTTTTAAATTAGGTCTCTTTTCTCTTTCTGTCTCATAGATCGACCAGTAGCCATTGTGTCTGGCTGCTTTCCATGAATCTGCTTATAACCATTTCCTAGTATATTTTTTCCCCAGGATTAAGTGCCAGAATGTCTAGTGATCAATCTAGTCAATATGTGTTTTCAGCATAAGAGTTCTGAGGGAGGATAAGGGGGCTGAATTAGAGTGTGAACTGCAGCTGTCTTCACTGCCAGGAAAGCGTTACTTATCCGCATAGAGATAATTGAATTTTGTTTTATTGCTGATATCTAGCTAAGTAGCATTACTATTAGGGACACTTTGGCAAGAAGGATTTGTTTTTCCAAAAGGAAGGGGAGGAAAAGAAGGAGAAGGCAGAAAACAGGGGAAGGAAAGGAAATGCCAGAGCGGTGTTTTGAGAGGGTCTCATTTTGAATCGCTTTCTTTCTGTTTGCTGTTCACAGTGGCTTGAACTTCATTGACCTGATGGTGCGACAAGGGAACATTGACAACCCTCCTAAGACACCATTGGTGCCAGGATTTGAATGTTCTGGAATTGTTGAAGCTCTAGGGGACAGCGTGAAAGGATACGAGGTAAAGTTTTAAGTCTGACATAAACAGCAGCAATCACCTAGAATCTGTGAGGCACAAAGACTGTAAAATACATTTGAAATAATAGCAGTCATGTTTTATTTTGTCATTTTGAGTTAGATAATATTAACTTTGTTTGTAATAATAGGACTTTGCAAAAATCTCATGAGTTTGGGGAAGTGGGCTGGATAATTCTTGTTATATTCCTTTTTCATACTCAATTAATATAGCTACTTCGACCATTCAGTTTTGTAGTAACTGAGTGCATAGTCCCTCACTCCAGCTCCAGCTACTATTTTCCACCATCTCAGGCTTAGCAATCAACTACAAAACACAAAAGTAAGGGGAGTTAATTATTTTATAATATGGTTCCTTAAAGTATTACCTAGTTGGTATCTTTCAAGTTACTATTTACAAATCCTGAGCTATTTCAGGAATGGATAAAATAGGATTTTAGAAAAAAAAATAGTTTAAGTCAATGAATCTCACCCTAACAATAGGATAGAATTGGTGAGGGATTAATTAATGACCTTGGGAAGAGGGCAACATGTCTGTGGTTTATTTCATTTTCTGCTTTCATACACATGTGAAATTCTCCACAATAAAACATTTTATTTTGAAAAAAACTAATGCATGCATGAGTCTTCATGCTGTTCTATACAAACTAAATACAACTTAGTCTATAAAAACTGAATCACTGTGGCAGGCAAGTTAGCTTTTGGATAAAGGTGATTGCTACCAAGCCTGATGAAAGAGAGAGCTGCAAGTTGTCCTCTGTCTTCCACACAAGTGTTGTGGCACACACACACATACACACACACACATCTAGTGAAACAGCTGTATAAAAAAATTTGGGAGTTTGGCATCTGAAAACTCACTACAAATCAAATTCAAAAGTTCTCACTCATAACTGAGATCTCCACTCATAACTCATAACTCTCACTCATAACTGAGACTGGTGTGTGGGAGAACACACCAGCTTTGTAGAATAGTCTTTTCTCTAACCACAATGAACAGAGAGAGAGAGGAGGGGGTGAAGGTTCTTACTATTCCATCAGGCTCAGAAGGTACAATTATTCTCTGTGAGTCTAGAAGGTAGAAAGTAGAAGCAGACCCCAAATTTAAGTCACCAAAGCCATCTTACAGTTCCTAGAATCTCACAGCCGTACCCATGTTCCCACCTTCACCCACAACGCTACAAAAATACATGCAAGGAATGAAGGATGAAGAGGAACCCTGTGAGATCGAATGCCAACTTTCCCTTCCCCTTGACCTTCATTATGCAGCTGGTCCTCACCTGAAAATACTGAATGTCCTCATCCCATTTAGTGGTGCTTCTGGCAACAATTTCCAAATCACATAGGAGAAGAAAACTACAGAAAAGAAGAAAGGATGAGCTTTAGATTTTTAAATACAACTTCTTCACCTTCTCTGTCCCTAGTAGACATTGTCACCAAGGCATGCATCTCTCTTTCTGGAAGGGCTGCACATATATGGTTCTATTTGCCCTTCACTCCTCCACATGGTCCCAAAGGAAAATCTCACTCTTTCATTCTGCTAGCCCTGAGCATTGAATAAATGCCAATAAACAGAAATGTTGTTGGACTTGGTTTAGAGGAATAACTTTACTAAATTAAATGCATTTAAATATGACTTACCTTCTTTTAGTTATCCCTGGCTTGACAGTAATATCAAGCCTTCTTGGCAACCCATCTCTTCTGCCAGTGATTGCCAGTTGCACATAGTTTTAAAAAGTCCCCTAAATGTTTCTGTACAGTATGTTGTACGGTTATAAGCCAACACTAATATTCTCTATGTGGAATTGACTTCAGGTTCATCAACATGTTGGAGATGGAATCATACATGGCAGCATGTTGCATGGCACTCTTTTATCAATAGCAAAGGATTGAATGTCTAGATGTCATCAGTAAAAGATTGATTTGGGATCATGGACTCAGAGCAGATTTATTTTTCTTACTAGAATCAACCAATTGGATAAGTACAGATATAATATTCCACATGTATACAGGTATATATGTGTGTGTGCTCACCCCATTGCCTACTCACATTTGCCATTTTGAGAATAAAATAAATGAACAAATGACATAGTGAAATTTAGTGAGAGGCCTGAGACACTTGCACTGTGAAGCACATTGAAACACTCAATTCATTTCACTCCACTTGGATACTAGAGGCCATTAGCTACTCTGTGTTGCTGAGTTTATGTCTCAGTTTTCACAGTTTTGTAAGAAAGAAACTAGTGCTGGGTGGTGTGATCCAAATGCTTGCATTGATGACAACATGTAACAGAGTCCCTGCCAGCAGGACAGCCTTTCTTTTACCTCTCAGTTTCTTCTCTGGGAAGCTGTTCCTTCTGCTTAATGCAATGGAGGAAGTCTGTGCTTACTAGTGGATCACTGGTCTGTGAATCCCTGAGTTTTGGAATCAGTTTCTTTATAAAACAGGTACAGGTGTTGCTCTTTCCGGGATTTCTATGCACTGTGCTAAGTGAACTGGGTCCACATTGCATCATGAACACAATATCCCATTTCAGAGATAAGGAAAGTATACCATCACAGATTCCCCCGTGGTGCACTTCTACACAGTGTGTTTTCTTCATAACACGCATCTCAAGTACAATGGGTTACTTGTTTGTATTTGAAGTATCAAGATGCTACCACTCTCCAGGTCAACAACATTTGGTAGTGATTCCATGTTTCTTTGGGTTCCTTTAAAGAAAGTTAAATATTTACAGTAGTTCATTTGTACAGGAGGGCTATGACAGAACCCATCTCAAAGGAGGTTGTTGTGATTGTTTGGTAAGGGTAGGAAGCAAACACCAAGCTACAGGGAAAAGTAAAGCAGTAGAATCAGTTATAATAAAAATATATAAAAACTGAACCATTTCTTTAGGAAAGCTATTAATTCTTGGGAGTTGACATTGACCATAGCAAATTTGTTATTATATTTGAAGACGGTACTATAATGAACTAATATTTCAAATTCATGAATGTTTTAATTTGCCTAGCACATGATGACTCATGAACTATTGGTGTTTCTTCTGCTATTTCTATTTATCTTTAATAATGAAATGCTATCAGTGCCTTCTCAGTGTTTGCCAAATCTTATATGCGTCTAACCACATGAAGCATATAGCAAAATGTCTCTGTGTGCTACAATCCAGTAAACATTATGTAGCACTTATCCCATCCAATGCCATTCTCCTGCTTCATTCTAAGCCACATTTCTCTTGTTCAATTCATGCCTATGTGTTTTTGTGGATTTCTCATCTTCTGAGTTTCAAGTCCATTAGGATTAATAATCCTCGGATCTTGGTGGACACAAATACAATGAACTAGACTGGCAGGGGGTCTATTTAGACATGAAAAATAAATAAATGAGAGTGATCTGGACTCCAAGTCCTGTCCTCCATGCTCAGGGAAATTTTAGCAGAATTTTAACTACTCTGGCTTATCTAATTCTTTCATCACCAAAATAGAGTAGTTAAAAACAACTGAGTCAGAAAATAGCTTGGCACCGACAGTCTGTGATGTGTCACTCAAGGAGGCAGGCTAATAGCACCTGGGCTCCATGGCCTCTGGAAGATGTTAATACATTGGTTGTAAAAGATCAAATATGTCTTGAATTAGGAAGGTAGAGATGGATATGCATCATGGGAAGGAAACTAACTTACATCAGATCCTAATTTCAGAAATCCCTACAAAAATTATAAAATGTATTTATGTTTAAATTTGAAACCTGGAATATGTCCATCAAAGTGGAGGACTACATCTATCCAGTATTCACTGAGTCCAGAATTACATACAGACTTGAGAGAGGAGAAAAAGGAGGCAAGTTTGAACCAAAGCCACAGATAAGTCTGAGCAAGGACTCCTCACTGTCTAGCCCAGACAGGACTCAGGTGCAAGATCGCCTGTTTATGTCTAAGCCATTTCCATCTCCAGCAAAAAGGAAAGATGTAAGTAGTTGCTACTCCTCTATGCGAAGCCATCAGATCATCATGGTGATTGATTGCATTCTCAGACCAAGCAGACCAGGCTTTGCATTCTTCCCATTGCTGGCAAGGCATGCCAGGGTTCAGTAACTCAGTTATCTCCCCTGAACTGAACTCTGTTAGCTCCAGCAGGGATGCCATGACACTGGGACAGACATGTGCAGGTTCTCTTAGAACACTACAGATGTGGTACTCACATTTGTCATCTAATTAAGTGCCTCTTAACCCAGATCTGAAAGGTTCCAGGATAGACAGGAAGGTCTTTATAGACACTGTGACATCCACACACTGAGATTATAGCAATCTTAACCCCAAATACATAGAACTGTCTTGTCCTGGGAAGCAAACTACTATGGCATCTCTTGAACCACATCAACCCACTACACACAAAAACATGATCTTCACTCTGTTGGACCAGTGTGAGGACCATATCTGTAGTGTTCTGAGAGAACCTGTACATCTCTGTCTTAGTGTCAGGGCATGAGGTTTTGGTGAATGGCAATTTGAGAATGAGAGAGAAAGGATGTGCATTATCCTACTCATATTAGGTATACTGATACTCTTCAAGCCTCTGCTACCACCTTAACAGTTTTCAGAATTCTAGTGACAGAAAACGATGATGTAGCCCAATTGGTAGAATGCTTATGTAGCATGCAAGAGATCCTGGGTTCAAGTCCCCACATTATATAAAACCAGACATGCTGGTGAATACCTAAAACCTCAGTTCTCAGAAAGTAGAGACAGGAGGATCAGAAGTTCACGGTCATCTTCAGATACATAGGAAGTTTTAGGCCATCATAGAAAACATGAGACCATTTAAGAAGATAGAGGGAGAGAAATAAGGAGGAAGTGGAGAATGAGGAAGAATAGGAGAATTATTCTAGTGACAGAATGAGTTTTCCAAATGTCATGGCTATGAAGAGGAGACACTAGCAGGGAAGATAGGTTGTTAGGAATCCTAAATAATCGTATGATTTATAGCAGTTTGCTTGATTGTTTTACTGGAAATACATAGAAATGTGTTTTGTTTTGTTTTGTTTTGTTTTCGTCAAAGAGCAAATATGAAACTCCAGGATTTCTACAACAATCACACTGTATGAATTAAGAGAAACAACATATGACTGTTATATAAGAGAAACACTACATGTCACCATGGACAGCTCCTGATAAGTCTAGTCCTTGTCAGAAGCCCATCAAGGAACCAGTTTTCTTTCATTTTGTATTTTTTTTATTTCCAGATTGGGGACCGTGTCATGGCATTTGTCAACTACAATGCCTGGGCTGAAGTTGTCTGCACACCAGTGGAATTTGTCTACAAGATCCCAGATGACATGAGTTTCCCTGAGGCCGCTGCCTTCCCCATGAACTTCGTCACAGCATACACAATGCTCTTTGAGATTGCCAACCTCCGGGAAGGGATGTCTGTGCTCGTGCACTCAGCTGGTGGTGGGGTGGTAAGTTTGCTGTTGGTTTTTCTGTTTCTTCAAGGTCATGATGGTACAAATGGAGTTGAACTTGACATGTGATTCTTATGTGAGTTGTCTTTCATAGAAATAGTCCACAACAGCAGTGACACTCACATGATCAGCAAAAGCCTTTAGAGGTTGCTGCAGTGGGCTTAGGTTGAGCCTCATAGATGGTATTTCTGGAGGCGTAGGATATCCTCAGTGTATCATGTGTGGACATAGGGATCTCAGGTGTGATTTTTGTGGAGAGACACTGAGTCTTGGCATCATAACCAAGTGCTGTGTTGATGATACCAACACATGTCACATCCTATTGATATCATGTAAAATGCCAAGATAGTGGACAATGTCCTTTTCAATTAATTACAGTGTTTGACACAATTCTTATAACAACATTCTAATCCACTTGTGCTCTAGTAAAATGAGAAAAAATGCAGACAAAGATTAACTTGTTACACTGAGAATTGCACACCCAGAAGAGTGGTCATACATGGTAGTATTCTATGTGCAATCTTTAAGACATATCTTTGCCAAGTGGTAAAATGAAGGAAATCAAAATTTATTCTCTATAGTTCAGGTACAGTGTGTTTTTCTTCCATGGTTTCAATGTGTCTTGGTACTTATGTACAATGCATAGTGTATGCCCTTCATAAGGACAAGTACTAGATTTGACATGTTCTATTGAGGTTTTACTGGAACTTTCATGTTTCTGAAAGGAGTTGGTATTACTCACCAACTCAACAGAGGTTCACTAAGCACATGCTGTGCTCTAGACTCAGAAGAGAAGGCACAGTCTAAAAGAATTTGGAAGGTTTCTAAGTTGTGATTTTGTTGGCTGGCTTCAGAGATGAGTTCTTATGATTTAATCTAGCTCAGATATTTTCAGTGGAGGTTTTGTTAGTATTGATTCTTTTAAAAATCCTTGGCTTTTCACAATAACCAGAATTTTCTGAAGTATAAAGTGTGTGTGTGTGTGTGTGTGTGTGTGTATGCATGTGTGTAAGCCAGTGGTTGACACTGGGTCATTGGGTGTCTTCCCTAGTCATTCTTCAATGTATTATTTTTAAATAAAGTCTGTCCTGAATCTGAAGCTCCCAATTTACCTAGGCTGGCTGGACAGCAATCCCCAGGGAGTCCCCCATCTCTATCTCCCCTGCATTGGGACAATAGGCAACAGAACATCTCTTTTTAATGTGGATGCTGAGGCTGGAAATCCAGTCCTCATGCTTTTGCAGGAAGCACCTTATCAGGGCAATTCTCCCAGCCCATGAAAGTCATTTCTACATTTCCTTTCTAGAAAAAGAAAAACAAGCTCACATCCAAAAAGCAAGGGTGTGAAAGTTTCAGAGTGCCTTAAGAAGAGATCTTCAATCTCATTCACAAATTTGCTGATGTCTTCTGACCATGAGTAAAGATATAATAAAAACTAAATGCTCCCTAGAAAAGAGAATCCTTTCCATTCCAGAAAACTGCTAACAGCAAGCAAGCCATTTAGAATGCTGGCATTTATGGTCTTAGTGTGTTCTGCATACAAAGTGTGGGGGATATTTTCACATTGCCAGCAGAAGCACCCATCCTTATGGTGATGCTGGCTTCAGTCCTGCCAAGGGTCAGTGTGATGGTTCATTAACACTTAACTTGTCAACTTGATTAGCTCTGGGATCAACTAAAATGCAAGCTCCTGGGCATTACCAGGACTTTCTTGATTAAATCATTTTATTCAGGAAGGCCACCCTAAATGTGGGCGCCATCTACCAAGAGCAACCCAGATAAAAAGGCATGGAAGACAGAGACCTTGCTTCTTGCCTGCTTGCCTTCACTCTTGCTGGCAACTCCATCTGTCCTATTGCTGCAGCACTCTTTCAGTGGTAGTAGAACCAGTCTCTTTAGGCTTCCAGTGTAAGCTGAAGACTAGTAGCTCTCTGGGAATCTTTGAGGCCTTTAGTGTCAGACTGGGACTCCTGAGATACCCAGTCTCATGGATGAGCAAGCCAGAAAGCAGCATTCCCCTGTGGCCTTTGCTTCAGTTGCCCTCTCTGGAGTCCTGCCTTGACTTCCTGCTACAACTTCCCTCAGTGATGAACTGCTCCCTGGAAGTGTAATTCAAAGGAACCTCTTGTTGCCAAGTTGCTTTGAGTCAGAATGTTTTATCATAGTAATGGGGAGCAAACTAGAGCAGTTAATTTGTGTATATCATCCCTGATATTCTTTGTCTCCCTCTCTGTGCTAAGAACAAATAGAGATATATAGACAGTGTGTGTCTCATACATGAAAAGAAATTCTTAGGAACTCATTACAGTTTTTACACTGCCTTTTCTGGGCTTGCAGATATTGCCAGCAATAACTAAAATGAGAAAATGGTGAAGAATTAGAGAAAAGGGACACTAAGAGGAGGAAAATAAGTTAATGGGCATTACACAGGCTAGGGTGTTTTAAAGCTTTGAGATAGACATTTTCTCTCTTGGCTTCAAAATAGCTGGTGAAAATAAGGGGACATGATCCTTCATATGAGAAAGCTATGTTCATTTGATAGAGACACACCCATTAGAGAAAAATACTGGTTTGGAGACTAGAGGGCAGTTCTATGGATTCTCACAAGGAACATATGTGGGGAAACTGTGAGAATCCTCACTAGAGCTCACAGTCAAGAGTAATATTTCCACATAGTCTCCTATGCTGTGCTCTCAAAGCTGTCAAGTATTATTGAAGTAAAATAAAAAGTTAGTGAGAATCAACATGCTGGGACCAAGCTAGGACCAAGAAGATGTGGCCTTGCTTCATCTTTGGACAGATTCAAAGGTGTGGTTCAGCCACCTGTCTTTCCAGAAGGAGGGTCTCCTGGAAAAGCATTTCTACCAGACAAGATTGGTAGGTCCATTAAAACAATTCAAGGCCACCATTAAAGGAAAGAGTGTATACCAAGCACATACTTACACATACAGACAGTTATTTGAGCTGAGCCGGGTTGACAGCCCTGCAAAAATGAAGATTGGCCTGAGGAAGGAGGGGATTACCTCCACTCCGTCCAACATTGTGGAGGTAAGAGAGTCCTCCAAGTTAGAACCGGAGTTCTTCCGAGACAATGGCTGGTGACTGTACATGTGCTCATGGACCCCCTGAGGGAAATTTTACCTGCATTGCTGTGAAACCCTTGGAGAGGCGTGGAGGTGTTCCACATCACTGTCGCAACCACCCTGTGTACAGTTGTTGCAGTAGGCAAGACAATGACTCCTGAAGACAACCGAGTCTCTGGCGCCTTTGAGTGTGTAGCTCACAGAGCATTGAGAATTTAACAAATTTGATTAGGGTAAGGGCCTTGAGATGGAGAAATTCTCTCAGATTGTGGCTAGCTCCAAAGTAATCACAATAGATTTTTTTTAAAAAATAAAGAGGGAAACAGAAGAGTCAGGGAGGTGTAAAGATGCTTCCTTCTGTGTTGCTTTGCTGACAGAGTGGGGCTATGAGCCAAAGACAGCAGGTCTAGATGCTGAGAGAGTCACAGCATCTAAAGCCCATGGAGGAATACAACTCTGTTAACACTTTTGTTTCAGTTGAGTGAAACCCATTTTGAATATGAGATTTCTAGAGACACAATATAAGAAAGATAGATTTTATGAGCTCCTAAGTTTGTAGTAATTGTCATAGAGGTCATTTTTTTCCTGGATGGCCCCTCACAGTGGAGATCCCACTGTGGCTTAGCAAAAGCACAGGCAGCAGTAGAAGAGTTAATATTTGTACCCTACTCTGCGTGATCCTAAACCTATTCTTTTCCCACTCAGCAAACCAGAACAGTAGGAGAACACTGGTTGTTCGTTTTCATGCTTCCACTTAGTGAGGACTGGGGAGATGGCTCAGTCAGTAAAGTGCTTGCTGTGCAAGCATGAGGACCTGGGTTTGATCTCCAGAACCTGTACAAAAAAAAAAAAAAAAAAAAAAAAAACTAAAGCCAAAGAGACAGACAAATTTTGGGACAGCCAGTCTACCTTGGTAAATTCCGAGGCAGTGTGAGACCTGGTATCAGAAAACAAGGTAGATAGTTCCTGAAGAATGACTTCTGACCTCCACATGTGTGTGCATGCGCACATGTATGCTCACGTGCGTGTGTGCGCGCGCGCACACACACACACACACACACACACACACACACACCATTTAGTGAATTTTCAGGAATAAGTATAGACATTTCAAAATCTATGAGACTGTGGCCCAGTTGTAAGATTAAACCTCAGTAGGATAAAGCAGCCTAAATTGGGATTCTGTAAAATATACAGTCTTAATAGCACCAAGATTTCTGTCAGCTTTGCATTAAAGATCAGGGTGGAAATTTTGCAGATAGCTCACAAAGAATACCAGTACCTTAGCTATGATTTTATAGAACTATAATAGGACATTGAGAAATAATTCAGACCAGAGCAGGATGTGTGGTCACTGGAGTGCCCCAAATGTATCCACTATTCCATCAAAACCTTGAATCCATAATTTCCTCTGACTATAGCATTACCAGATGGCCTGAGATGCTAATGCCCCTAATCAAATCTTGAGAAACTAGTGGAAAATTTAAGGTCAGTGAGCCCTTAAAATGAAAGGAACAAAGTAAGCAATGGTGTGGGACTCCTGTCAGGAATTGTGTGGGCTTCCTTCCAATTCCACTCAGCATGCCTTTTTGATAAGGCTTCTGAGTTTGGGCATCATGACTCACTCAGGTATGTTCCTGTTCTGGAAGTGGCATGGCTGTTATTTTGAAGCCACTTGCATCTATTTGTGATGTTCAATGCTATCTACTTTGGGATCTCTCCCTCTATTTTCCTCATATTGGAGCAACTACCCCCTTGGCAGTGAGTGGCATCCCTATTTGACAAATATAGGAGCCGATGGATAGGGAAATGAGAATAGTAAGAATATCAGAGATATAATGTTCTCCAAGCCTTCTGTCCTTGTACTTCATGCTCTTGATTCTTCACCATCAGGGAAATGAGAAGATGAGAAGG